TTGCAGCCCACTGGATCGGGACAAAGACCTGAATCTGAATACTTTTACAATGAATTTCATCAATTGGTCGATGCTTTTTAGATGTTGTTTTTAATCGCAGGCCGATTTGACTTTATTGTTTAGGCTGTCTAAACTGAAATTTTGCGAAAAAACACGCCGAAAAACTGCGACACGCAGTGTAGAAAAAAGAACCGAAATAAATTCAGGATTTCGAAATTGTCGTCTTCTAAAATCATCTAGCTAGACATACCAAGCTTAGTAAGGCGTACATCACAGATTATTAATTTGTAAAATGAAATGACAATAAACAATCTCCTTATTATAACGCGTGCTATCTGAGTAATCTACGCCATTTATTTACTCATCAGAAGACAATTGGTGCATTACAGCACGAAGCTCCGTTGCTACCGGACCTGGTGGGATGACGAGCTCGCGTGACCACGCCAACTCTAATATAAATTGATCAGCAGATCTGCAGTTACTGTTCCACTCTGTTACCTTAGTACTAGCAGTAATTAATACATCTAGTGTTAGATTTTTATAGTGAACGATTTTGGCTCTGCTTTTAACCTGATGGGGCATAATTAAGTCTGCGTGGTGCTGATAATTTAATTACATGATCCATTACCGGGTTAGGCACGAGATTCCCATGAATATACGGAAACCGATTATAATTATAGATAACCAAATAATATCTGCACCCAAGAAAAAAACGCCAACAAAAAATATATTCACAGGGTAGTACGACAAACTACTGTAATAAGTAGACCAAAATATTTCAAAAGATTTTCTATTTTATCACCAAGCTATAGAGTTGAAAATCGATTAAAGCAATGACAGATTAGGGGTAGCTTAATTTGCAGTCGTCTGGTCCATTGGAAACATTAATTTATCAGCACGACACGCCAGTTCTCGCACATGTTTATTTTCCGAGTGGTCCCCTAGGTCGACGGTCAACTGTCCGGCGATAGACAGTTTGATTGATCTGCCTACCCTCTGCACAGTGTCGGCGTAAATCTTCGTAATTAATCAGCTTACGGGTGGCAGGTTTATTTATATGTCCCGTATCTACCATTTTGTGATAACGGTAGAAGAAAAAAGGCTAATGGCGAGAATGATAATGGAACTGAATGATTGGCAGGCCATTTCTCTGCACGTCGTGTTTTGTGGAGCATAGGTAATGTAAAATTAGTATTAGAAGTGTAGAATCCATTACTAGTGGAGTAAAACTATGATATGTAGGGTGATAGATGGACAGGTGTTTGTTAGTCTTTCATGGAAATGTATTGAATGGAATTTGGCGATAAGTATTTGATTTGGCATCGTAACCTTGATGTGGGTTATCACGCAGGACGAAAGTTATAGGAACAATCTTTTTCTTCTTTTTTCTTTATAGGATAAACCAGTAAATGAGCAGACGGATCACCTGATGGTAATTAATCAGCGTCGCCCATGGACAGCCGAAACAACAGAGGCGTTACAAGTGCGTTACCGGCCTTTTGGGGATTAGGAATTTGAGGATCGTTGAGGGTTCTGGGATTGGGCAGATTATCTTATGGTAGGTATAAGGACTGAGTTATGCATACTAAGCAGTATTTATCGATTGCCTTGATAATTCCTACATTTAAGTACAGGATTTCCCAGAATCAAGCCATAAATCAATTTAGTACCCTTTGATCCTGTTCGTTCATAGTAATTTAACAAAAATGGTGAGGCCCAAGGCGATATATCAAAATTATGAATGAGCTCCATTCCCTTTAAAAGAAAATAAACAATAATATTACTATTTTGTGAATGTTTGGATTTCCCAAGTTGACCCTTAATATGGTCAGTTTCCTTCTTCTTTATTGTGTGACAAACTTAAAATATGCATTCAAGGTAAACTAAATATATGTATACAATTTAGGATACAAAAAGATAAAAACTAAATAAAAGATCACTAAAAATAACTATTTAAAGTCAAAATCAATAAAGTCAAAAAGTTTAAATAAAAGAAAAGGGAAACTGATGTTATTTTCATGTCTAAATGTTGGTCGACAATAGATTTTTTATTATAAGCCGGTAAACAGTCAGACGGATCACTTGATGGTAAGTAATCGGCGTCGCCTATGGACAGCCGAAACAACAGAGGCGTTACAAATGCGTCACCAGCCTTTTGATCAGGAATTTACGAATTCTTGGGTATTCGGGGATTTGGGAAGGACATTAATTGGGCCTCCAGTAACCTCAAAATTACTGCTTTTGATTTGATTTCGACCTGCCCCCATTAGTTATGGGACGCAAAATAACTAGAGATCTCTATTAAACACGTTTTCTTTCATTGGCAGGCGACTTAATAATGTTACAAATATTGTTTGCTCATAATGTTATCAAGAAATAGCTTGTTATAATTAAAATAATTAATTATATAAATAATTTCAGTTAGGGACGTGGTTTGTGGTTTGCGGTTAAGTTACGCGTCGTAAGAGATCGTATTGCTTTACTTAACATTACTTAATTACAATAATTATTGACAACAATGTCACGAATATTCGTTTTTTACGTACATTTTTCTCTTAACTGGTGTTAAAACAAATACTCTTGATTGTTCTATTGAGCAGACTGGTCTCATCAACCTGTGATGTTGTTGAAAAACTAAAATTTTGAGCGGAATGTACAAAAATGACTAAGTTACCTAAATGGTACAGATAAAGGGTAGGAAGATAAAGGAACCGATTTTCTATTTCCACCGATTTCATTTATCAAAATTAATTAGTTGCTGATTAATGTCGAAAAGAACAGAATTATAAAACAACACCATAATATGCTCTCCAAGAACCCCGTTAATTTTGACGCCAGAGTCAGTCTAATTGAGTCACACCATCGTCCTAATTTTATAATAATTAATAACAAATAAATTATGTGAATTATATTATTGTAATGAATTACATTATAATTATGTAAATACTCCACACAATATTAACAACACAAAACATAAATTATTATTGTTGAAATCCTCGTCACTGAAAGAAGGAGTCATATCAACTCATGGGAGCTTAGGTAGAGTTGAACAGTCTTCAAGTCAGGGCTCCATAAGTTGTACCTACCTAATCACCTGTATACCAGTTGTGTCTAATCCACTAACAAAGGCTGTCTAAGTGTCTATTTATTGCATTCTATTTATAGGCGAGTACATAGGGGGTGTTATTGTGTGCGGATGTCCCTCGGCGCGGCTAATTGCCACCGCTTAATAAACTTCGTGGCAAATGGGAACACATCTAGCAACCTACTGGGTATATGGTACTGGTAGCTCGTTGATATGACTCCTTGTTTGCTTGCAAATGTACCTAGATACCTAGTGTAAGTATAAGGATGTTTTGTTTTATACATACTTATTGTTATCACATGTTGTAAGGCAAAGGGATTCTCGATCTGTCACGTCTCGCAAAGGAGTGGTGGAAAGGATTATTGCGTAGAGTAGTATCTCTAAGGAAAAAAGGATGATTTAAATTACCATTTACTTTATAACCTAAAGAAATAATCTTTATTCAAGTCCTTTTTTATCCATCTCATAAAGCTTCTCATTCACGGTCCGATTCGTTCGACTTATTTGACAAATGACATCCAAAGAAATGTGACCAGTTATAATAAATAAAATAAATTAATTAATTCCAGCTACACATTCAGTGATGCGTTTCTGGTGTTAGTCACGTCCTGGTCGTCAATGGGCCCATTCATTCCACGGCTCTGTAAGGGCAACAGCCCTTGTGTTGTAGCGAGGTTTATTACCAATTTATGACTTTATGACATGTGGAATTAGACGGCAGTGTTCATAGCACAGAGACGACTCAAAGAAGTTCGGTTTGGAATCATTTAAACAACGCGGCAACGCTGGCAATGAGCAAAAATATGATCTAGCTGTATGTTTACTCACAAATAAAAAAAACATAAATGCTACTTCTTCTTCAAAGTAGTCATAACACTGTAATAAAATTTTATGTACACGCACGCTCCACGATTAGGTTAGCTACCTACTGCGTAATTTAACGTGAACTATGAAAGTACCTTGTTCCTAAACTACAAAAATTACCTAACATCCAATATTTTAAGATCAGTTAAAAATACAAGTTATATTGGGATATTATCAAAACATATTCTTACTACCTCGAGTAGGTGTATATTAAAATAATATTAATTCAAACATCGAATAGGCTAGTGATGTGCACCTTATGTTTGTTTACGCAGCTGGGCGTCCGAGAGCGCGTCGTTCCCGGGTAGGTATCGAGTCGTGTAACAAACCGTTTGATGTCCGATTACGACCGGCACTTAGCGTTTAATGTTGCGTTCGTGTTAAGTGACCGATTATTGAACGCTTTCTAGTGATAGTAAGTACACCAAGCAGTAAACAAATGCATGTTTAAAAAACCACGTCCAAATATAAACTTAAACCTTTTTTAGTAAAGTTTAAAATCCCAATCCGTCAGCAGGGGGACTTTATGCTGTCGTGATCTAATTTACGGTTGAACTTAAAAGGTTCAATTTCTATTACGGATATTGTTTATACTTCTTTTATGTATGTACGTATTGCTTATAAGAACATCTTTGATTTTACAGCGCCGGTCATTTTTAAAACAATGCAATGATACATCTGTGCAAGCAATAACAAGCAAAAAGTTTCATAAAGTTTTCTGAAACATTTATTTTAAAGCAAGTCATCAGAATACGCATCATAATTCTTTATGTATATCTGGAAACCGATTTAACACTAACATCACTTCCAAGTGTTTTGAAAACAAGTTGATGAAATATCAGTGATGTATAGAACTTTGAAATGTAGTTTATTAGGATATGACACATTGTTTGTACAGCGCTGCGTCGCTATAAACAAACAGTGTTTCAACGCTTTCCTCGAATACTTGCATCGGGCATCGGACATCGAGCGTGCACACTAGAACGGCCTATAAAATCGGTTACTGTAAACACAATATAATCGATAAACAAAGCAGTGTATAGTAACTTACCGACGACTCCGACGACACTAAAGATGCAGGCACAGGCTGCAGCCAGCACCGTGGCCTCCGGCGGGTAATGCGTAATGTTTTGGTCCATACTTGTAATGTTTTCGTAAATATCAAACGATAAATCGGACATAGTTAGGCACTTCACTTTCACTTCACTATTTAGAACTTTAATTTTGAATTTTTCTTTGACATTTTATACTTTTTAATCTTGACATGATGCTGTCAAAAGTTCCTTCCAGCCATGACGTAATTGCACAAGGACCACTGCATATAATCTGTAACAAAATACAAAGATTAAATTACACCGTTTTTATGAGAGCACGTGTTGTTAGTCATAACATTACGGACACAAAGCTACTTAGTAGAGCTTTTTAAGGAAATGTCAAGGAGATCAGTGTCATTAATGTTATGTAAATTGAATTATAACTTTTTGTCGTCAAATTCAGCTTGCCTCTAGGTAGGTACCTGATTTCGCAAGAGAACCAACTCGTTAAATGAACAGCAGATAATGAAATTGAAATTTGTGCTTCATGAAGTGTTTTGCTGGTTTATCAGTAGATATTTTATCGGAAGCGTATCAATGCGGACTGCCCCTCGGAGCTTAAATGCCAACTAACAGAGGAAAAGAGATGGAATGCAGGAAAATGAGGAAAATTATCTCCGGTTTAAAAATAAAAATTCACAATGAACAACATTACGAAAATAGTCGCCTTATTGACAAAGTACAGCTAAACAACCGTGTATCTGCGGATATACGGTTCTCAATTTTTACCTCATCGAAAACTAGTGCGGTCAAATTTTTAAGAGCAAAGTTCAGTAAATCGATGTAAATGTTACGCTAACGGGATAAGCTGTAGAATATTTGTATAAATATAAATAGATTAGTTCCAGATAGTGATACGTAGTGTAACGGAAGGCTGGCCGAGTACGGAGTCGGAGGTATTTCGAGCCAAACAAGTTGATCTCACTCCATCGCTATGCCCTCCCAGATTTTATTCGCCCTCATTACGTTCATAAATATAATAAAATATTGTTATGCCAATCATTCGTTGTGGGAGGTCCGTTATTTATACGTTTAGGCTACCACATTGAATCATTCGCAAAAATATTTATGGTCCTTGTTACGTAAACATATAAAAAGCATCAAGCTCCCAGTCAACCAATCATCGCTGACGTAAACGTGTGGAAATATATAACAACATTCTTTCCAGGAGTTCTAATGGGTCTGACGGTAGTACATTGATAATGACTTGATGGCTAAGTGGCTGTTGCAAAAGTAACATCTCTTCACAAAAAATCTACACTCGATAGTGCCGAAATCCTTCCGATGTAAATATATTGATTGGCTTCCTTACGTCAATATCACGCTATTTCCTCGTATTTTTCTTTAAGACCTAAAAAAACTAGGCGTAACGTCACGCGGCGCCGGGTGCGGGCATTAGCATGGATTTACATGACGATACGAATCACTTGTGTATGGAAAGTATAAATTCTCATAACTCGTCTTGCAAACGCACGCCTGCCCATTGACACCATTAAAATAATATCATTTGAAAGCTGCAGAAAGCAGTTCCGTTACAATAACACGTATTTTCCATTCAGATGACTATTTCCAAGTTTCCACTAATGCTTGATTAGTAATCAGTTTTTCTTTACAACCTTTTTTTTCAGACTCCTTGGCAAAAACTACTTACTACACTGGCCACCGATAACGTACACATGGCCACGTTCTTTTTATGATTTTGAATTTTTATTGCCCGCCAATCTACAGCGTCTGTACTAGTTAGCTGTGGGTGGACAGCGAAAAAACTGTTAAAACAATGAACATGTTTTATTTGTAACACTACATCTGCAACTGGTTTTCAGCAGTTGAGGCTTACAATGTCCCATATAATTGGGACTGTGGGATCAAATCGGATACTCTTCTTAGCTTTGGTGGTTGGTAGCTTCAATTTAGATTCATTTCCTCAACATTATTCGATCTTGAAGACCAATATCATACCTCATTAAGCTATGACCATGTCATTTGGCGACGGTAACGAACACAAGGCTTCTTTTGTTTACGTTGCAATGGTCACCCATCGTCCCTCAGTACCGATGTGAATACAAACAGCTATAATTATTATTATGGCCGGTAATGACCGCTGCCCTGTTAAGTGGCGGCTAGCTGATGACTTCTCATCCTTATTAAGACTATGTTCTGAGAAAGAACCGATCATACGGGTTTCGTTAATCAATTCATTAGTGCATTGAGATGAAGAGAAATGATGTTTTAAATAGTGTTGTGATCGTTCATGTGAGAAAGGGGTTTGTAATGAGATCTAGTCAACGTTAGGGTTGAATTAAAAGATATTAAGTGGAAATAATGAACGTTACTCGAAACACAGACAGATTTTCTAGTTTTTTGAATGCATACGATAGCACTTTTAAAATGAATATGTTTGCTAGTTCTTTCGTTAGCCGGTAAGAATGAGAAAATATTAATAATGATTGTAACAACATCGGTAAAGACAACCGAATGCTCGGCTCGAACAGATCCGGCTGGTAATGATCACATTCTTATTTTAGTCTACAGACATAATACCGTTTGCAACCATTTACGTGCGTCGCTGGCGCCCGCCGGCTCACCACTCGTGTGAGGAACTATTTGGATTTCATAATAACACTAGGTTATATAGAACGCCCACTATAACTAGGCCTACGGCGGGTTGCAGAAATAACTTTCGATGAAGGCTTAGTGGTAGTTTTGGCAGGCAGCACGAGACAAGTGGCGCCACTAGGAAATGTCAATTTAGGCTGGTGCTATTACAACTGCGTTAATTCGTAGTGTCTCACTTTGTGCGCGTTGTTAACTGAAAGTTTTACAACTCTCCTAAACAGTTATTGTTTTCCGTCGTTCGTAAACGTCAAATTAAAGTTGTGCAGCTTTATTTCTGTCTTCTTTATTGGAAGTACTGTGACATGAGATTTATTGAGTGTTACCCATTTACCTACTTAGTTGATGATATTTATGACCATTTAAATGTCTAACGCTCCCGTAACTCAATTGTTCACAGCCAAATGTATCGGATCAATGGCATTATTTCAGGAACGAGGATACAAAAACTAATTTTGAATTCGGAAACTCGCGTCTAATCCACGAAAATAATGCTTTTTCATTTTGAATTGTTCATGTTACTGGGAAGCAGTTGTTTATTGACGCACAACATGCGTTGATCTGACAATGCCGCGTAAATCATATCGTCTTATAACGTCATCTTGAAATTTTTACGATTCATTAATTAAATCGATTCATATTGCGACTTGCTTTGTGTCATTTTCTGTTACATTATTAAATACAAGATAATTATTTATTGTTGTTTGTGTGCCTCATTAAGTTTTATGAGTTTGTTGCACATGTACGGCGACATAATGCAATTAAGATCGCAGTTTCGCACATTATGACTAAGCTGACTGAATGTCCTGCGTCCCCTAGTTGGGGCAGAAAGCGTTCATGGAAGTCCTCTAGAAGTCGACCTTGGCACTTCTGCAATAGTTGGGTATGGTCCCGGGACATGAGTAAAATAATATCTCTTCAGTTGTAGCTTTATTTAATGATCGGTTTAGTTGAAAACAGCTGACGCGTTTATCGCATCATTAATCGAAATGATTTCTAAGATGTTCTTTATAGAGGCCGTCAAAGTCAGTTAAGACGATAGGGAAAACGAGTGGGCAAATACTAGGAAAGTTGGAACTTTGACAAAACAACGCAACTATAGAGATTTAGTGTAGTAATTTATAATGACAAGCAATATTTGTGTCGTGATAACAGACTTACTACATCGTGTAAACACATACCTACTGGAAATAATCAAATACCGCGGGTTAATGACAGATGTCAATCTAATTTCATCGAGTGCTCGATGTTTGCACACATCACTAATTTACTAAGAGCTTCAATCGATACGGGGGCGTCACTAGCCGCGGTGTGCGCGCCAAAAATGGCTGCAGATGACGTCACTAATTTGATAACACGTCGATTGTTTGATGTGTTAATTAGTTAATCTTCCTGACGGTGGCGCTTCTCGGCTTACACTGATAAAGGGAACAAGCCTTTACCAGTAAACGTGCTTTGTTGATATGGACTTGTGGAAATCGGTTGTTTTGCAGGAAAAACCACCTGTTTTCAAATGTCACATTTCAGCTCAACATAGGCATTTTAATTATGTCACGTAACAAAATTTACAATTATCTTGGTTGTAAAGTTGATCCTGTAAATAAGCTCGTATGCAAGCTAAACACACTATTAAGCTTTATAACATTACTACCTATACAGATTGTACCGAACTTTAAAAATAATAAAACCACAATTTTCCTGTTACCAACAACAAAAAGGCGAGTCAATGTCACTAGTATCTTGTAAACAAATAAGCAGGACGCGGCCTTACACCGTGATGTATGGAAAGAGCACATTTCCACAAAAATATGGCATCGACCTCGAGTCGACCACCGATTAATGTGCGCCTCCTATAGATAGGCTACGTCTATTTAAAACCAATCATTTTGTTTACCAGTGCCGGTATTCGGTACTATGGAAATATTTAAAAATGTACCAGCTGATACTAACTGTATGTAGGTACAAGATATTTATATTCTAGCTTCTATGAACTGGCGTGTTTCATTGGTGGGCTTCGTCATGTGACCCTCGGTTTGATTCTTAGCTTGTGTTTCTTGAGAACTTAGATATCAGAATCGGCAATTGTCGTTGGAGTCTGAAACTCTGAATGCTTATAAATGCCACAAAGACAAAGGCCCTTTAGATAATTATACAAGAACCTAAATTAAGTATGTTTACCCGTCCCGTCGGTTGCTTAATGCACCTGTTAGCTGCGCCTAAGTGTAGATTCTTCCGCGGTGAACGTAAAAGGTTACCGGGGCTTCGGATCGATGTGCGAAGGAACGGGGTGGGTTTTAGTCAGTAAGAGTCTGACACTCCTTCTCGCCTTACCTAGGCGGGAGAAGTCATTCCACGATTTGATTTACCCCCCATAAAAAAAGTGTAGATTCTTCTTCAGAAAAATACAACGCACAAAATAATACGTACAATAAACGCAGATCAAGCAAGAAAAATCCAATAAGTTCAAAGCTTTC